TTGCGAGTTCGAGCCATTGCGGTCCAGTGCCATCGGTTTGCTAATTCGTGTTCCGTGATTTCTATTGCGTAGTTCGTGTCCTAAATTCTGTACGTAACTTCACTACTACTACCTCCATTACCATTACAGTAGATGACTATCTAGTTTCGAGAGACGGTTTTTAAGTGTACTGACGGGATCATGGAACCCGAGGACATATATCAGCATTTCCTGGTTTGGTAAGGCCCATGTTGTTTATCAATACTGCTCAAAAGGTATTGAATGTCTAACGGTGCAGTGCCACCCAAGATTTTCCCGTCTTACGTACACACTTTTGACTCACTTGTATATAACACCTTGCTGTACACAATCAGACCGTATGTCATTTTTCGACTCTTTCATACCTTTTATTGTCCCAATTTTAGATGTTAACCTGCACATAATCGCTGGTGACTTAAACCATCCTAGTACTTATTCACTTTTATCACTAGGTATGATAGATCTTTGTCACTCTCCCACAAGAGTAGTCACTAAGCGCTCAACCCTTTCTCTTTAACACTAATAGCACCTATTTCCTCCGGTGACCATTAATTACTCTTAGTTCGACATAAAGTTTAATCATACTGTGCATACAAATCTTTCTCTCGATCTGACTACATCAGATTTCTTTATCGTAACTTCTCACCTGCAAGTGCTTCTCTCCTGAGTGAATCTCTCAGACAGGCCTGTTTATAGTTTTATCATCTCCTTCACCTCTATTCACACGTGTCTCTCTATTCACCCAAACAACCAATGCCATTTATAATTGCTGTTGCCCTGTTCAAAGCCTATATGTGTCCAAAGGAAAGATAAACTCTTCCCTACTAAAGTCGCTACGACGACAAAAGGAACGTGCGTACAAGTATCACAAAGCTTCAGCTGTCATATATTTGTCCAGGCTTATCAAAACTGAAGTAAATAAATTGAACGCATTATTCTCTGACCGAATTCTGAAGACTGGAAACAGCAAACACCTGTGGCTTGGTATGAGACTTATCTGTGGAAGGAAGAAAGTATGGTCGAAACTGGATATGGATGTTGATGATCTCAATGTTGCATTCCTGCGCCAGTCATGGGATATTCTTCCTGCCTATTCGTCACAAAATGTTTGTAACGTAGAACCATTCTCATACTGGGATGAGTGAAAACTTTTAAGTAGTTGCATTCGTCTTCTGCTGCAGGCCCGGATAATTTACATCTAGCCCTCTTCAAATTAGGTGCTGCTTCCCAGGCTGGGGCAATCACCTCTATTGTAAATGGATCTTAACGCTTACTAACCCCGACTGTTGGAGGCCGGCCACAATCATAACGATCCCCAAACATCCAAATCTTCCATCCTCTCCAAACGTTTTTGTCTCATAGTATTAACATCTTTAGCTCTTAAATTGACTGAAAAGGCTATCTTCAAACGCCTTCAGCAGTCTATAAACATTCCCAGTGATCCGGTACAGTGTATTTACAAGCCTAATAGATCCATCTTAGATGCAGTCTCCACCCTCATTCACTTCATTACCAAGCCTTTGAACAACTCTGTTAAGTCTGTTCGGTGTGTTTTTCTGGACTACCCATCAACATTTGATTCCATTTCTCGATCTAAGTTGTTACAAAAATTGGAATCCTTTGAATGCCAGAAGCAGTTTTTAGCTTGGCTATCCAACTACTTTACTGATGGAATACAAACCCCTAGATTGGGAAAGTCTTCCTCTAAACCCTTATTCAACAACCCCGGGGTTCTTCAAGGTAGCCTTCGTATGGCCACAGCCCCTTTCCTGAAAATTGACTGTACATTTGTATATTCAATAAATACAAAAAGGAAGTGAAAAGACATTTATTTTATTTATTGAGGAGCTGTGCTATTCCCATACTTATTTTCCACTTTTATTTGTGATATTCTGTTTTTTCTGCACGAATTTTAAAATATGCAGATGACGTCGTGCTATGCCAACCCATTTCTTCTTACACTGATCTAAGCCCCTTCACCGACAATCGTGATCAAATTCAGTGATTATCCTTCTTATCGGGACTGACTGTGATGATCCCAGCCTGCGAGATGACGCATACTCTGGAGCGACACGTCTCAGTTTTAGGACAACGGTGATCAATCAAGCTTCTCGATCATGTCAGCAAAGCGCGTGTGTGCCACAGCCTCTGAACTACAAACCACAGGCCGATTGTATCAATCAATCAGAAACCGTGCGGCCCAAACAAGCTGAACAACGGCAGAAATACTAGAACTTTATTGGTAGAAGCCCGGATGACCAATGAGTTTGTGCTGTACATATTATTTAATCCCCCTTATTTGTTTCAGTAAACGAACTGCTACTACGGTGGCCTTTTTCTCATGTCTCGGATACGTGGGATATTGTTCGCTAGTGCTGGTGTGATCCAGTGCTTACGTGATTCAGTCCGTGATTGCTAATCCTTGATTCGTATTCCGTGATTCGCATTGCGTGGTTCATATTCTGAGTTCAGTGCGTATTACCGTTACTACTACTAATACAATCATTACACTGACTCTAAACCCCAGTAAATGTGTTGAGTGTTTATATAGTTCTTCTCGCTCGCCATATCCGACAGACCCCACAGTGTTTAATAACAATCCTTTATATAGGGTGAACTCTGTCAAATATCTTGGTGTAACCATTGACGGCAATCTTAATTAGCCAACCCACATTCACGACTGCATTGATAAACTGCGGCACCCATCATTTCAAATTCGGAAGCTCAGGCAGTTTCGAGTATCCCAGTCAGTTATTTCTACCTTTATGTATCAGTGTGTTTTACCCATCTCACTCTACTATTCTCCAGTTTCTTTTCCTGGCTTACTCAAACAGGATTTTAAAGTCTTATGTCGCGGTCTAACTATTATTAGCCGCACCTCTTCTATTCCTGTGAATGAGTTAGCTCTAAAGCTTTCAGAGTATCAGGTGACTTCCTGTGTGAAATTTGCTGAGAGGATTCTCGCATATCCTGATCACTCATTGCTGCAGGACTGACAAGTTGCAGTTCCCATCATACAACACGCTCCCAATTCCTCTAAGTTTTGTCGTAAGTTAACACTTACCGCAATTCACCTATATCGTATGTTGCTCGTTTACTCACGGACAAAGAGCGGACAATAAATGAACTTTGTCCTAACCTTTGATTATAAAATGTTCCCATGTCTGTAAAAACTTTCTCCCAGTCCATCATCGTGACGGCTGGCGCGTATGATATTTTAAAACTGAAATTTGAGCTCTAGTACTTGTGATATTTATACACAATACAATAAAATACNAAGAATAACCTTTTCGGTGGATGGCAAAAGAGGACGCATGTGAAGCGTATTCCATAAGCATACCAACTGTGCAATTCAAGGCGGTACGCTACTCCTAAAACTCGAAATGCATCTACCGTACATCTAAATTCAATCGCCTCGGAGGTAGTGTGTTCGAACCACATCAGCGCCGCCTATCTTCGGTCACTTACATCCTTCGGAAGCTCTCTAAATCTTCGCCTCCCTTTTATGCAAAAATACTGTATTCAATAGGTCAAATAATAAAAGGACAGCCTCTAGTTCTGCCACATGGTCGATTGTCACATTTTTTATATCCCAATTATAATCTCTACATCTCTACATCTATCTCTATATATGATCATTTTTATACTTCTGTCTCATTATAGTCCACACTATGTGCAAAAATGGAATGATACAGTAATTAAAACAAATGATTCAGTCCATGATTTGTTCTTGGGCACAATGCTGCCTGTTTTCCAAAGTCAAAACCGAGGAATTTTCCTGGATAATTCACAGCTGGAACCTACGTTTAGTAAAGGTTTGATCCGCCAAACAATATGAAGCCGCGATCGTCTGAGCTACGGGGTTATCGTTGTTAAAATATTCGACTCGTTGGGGTCCGATTCTAAATAAAAGTTTTGTATTTATTTCCGAGTTTATTTCGCCTGCTAAACGGAACGAAAAAAGCAACAGACAATTTTTGTTTGACAAATAAGTTTTACGGCAAAAATGAACATTAAGCAGAACAGCAAGGAAGGAAAAGGGACTGATACTAAATGCAGACACATTTGTCCATACCGGCATAAAGTAATCTCTTGGACAACTTAATTCTTTTGAAAGTAATAAAGTCAACAGATAATAGAAATTGTTTTCGTCGGCGCGATAAAGAGAAATTCTATCCTACTTTTTTTGGCATGCATCTGCATAGGGGCAGACAATTTGCTTTTCGCCGGCGAGCAGAATCATCATCGTCTTTGTCCTCGGGATCGGTCATAGTGGATATTTCGGCACATAGTTTTGTCGGGCTTGCTGGCAAATAACGATAACATACACCGGTTTGAGGTTCTTCTAAAAAATTTAAAAATCGCTGATTCAGATATTTTTCAATAGTGACACTCATTCCGCCATTCGAAGTGTGACATGTACCGTTGTATGATAAACTAGGTTCAACCAAAACAGAGGGATCATAGTGACGACCAGGTGCTTCAAAACTTTCTTCCAGCTCTTCCAACAAGTCATCGTAAACTGTCCAGCTATTGGACGTGTCTTGGCACTTTCGATCAGCCGTGGACGGATTACTGGTGTTTAGTTTCCATTCTAAACGTTTCCGTCGGTGAAACTGAACTCGTGCTTTCATAGGTTCAGGGATTCTTTCGTAATCTTCCGTCAAGAGAGAAGCAGATGATGATATGACGAATGTTTCATCATCAGCCGGTGTTACACTAACTTTGCCTCTTCTGGACTGGGACCTTCGACGAGATTCTGGTCTATGGTTTTTCACCTCACATTCACCATTTATTGGTAATGTGACTGATTCATCAGTCAGACGAGGACTTTTCTGTATGGTTTGTCCGTNCGTTCGCGATATCTCCACATATTAGAGACGATGCTATGGACTCAGGACACGAAGCCTCACCATCAAAACTGTCTGATTCTTCACTAATATAAGGAGTCAAGATATTGTTTGGGCTTACGCGTTCGGGGTAGTTCTCATTGTTGTCGGAATTATCTCCGTCATAGGCTTCACCGGATGGACTAGTTCTGCTCAAAATATTTCGCGTTCTGTGATCGTCGCTTAAAAGGTCAACTGAGAGTTTGCTTTCGATCTTTGCGTCTTCCACTGCCGGCCGGCGAATATCCATGGGCGTGATCACATTCATCGCAACTTGATAAATTCGTGGCCTTGCAGTTTCTGTGATCAAATGCAACTTCCCTTGAGGTTGATGATTAGATACAACTTTTACTTCTTTACTACGCTCCAGTTTCGATATTACTATCAAAGTTGCGCTGCATATTCAATGCTACTTGTCTAACCAGCGGACAGTCCTTCGTCCGATGAATGAATACGGTCTACAGCACGGCCCGGTGTCGTGATGTGCTAACGATTGGTTTTAAATTTCAAGATCACGTGATCTTGGGTAGCACAATTTATTTCCTCTTATTGGACTTTAGAAAAACAGTCTGCTTAAACCAAACCTAGAACTCACCAGGTATGAATCCACTGAGAGTTGAACAGGAAACATTAGTTTTCGTATTACTCAGAATTCGTGTGTGATTATTTCACCGAAGTACTGTGTTAGACGAAGATTAAATTATTCGGAATCATACATAACTTTCTGGAACGGCCAATTCATTATTCGACCTTCCACTGAAATATCTAAATACAACTTTTCAGGATTATATATATACATGCACATGTGTGTGCAAGAAATAATTGTCTTTTTAATTTAGGACACAATTTTCATCTTCTCTATGAGAACCTTGTTTTTATTTAATCTGAAAATATTTCTGAATGGCATTTTTAAACTGATTTCTCTGTTTTTCTTTGATCACGGGTGTTATTTGTAGAAGATTACTTATGAACATGTCTCTTGTTACTCCGTTTTGCTCCGGAACACAAAGATAGTATGCAGTGTTTTTGTATCCAGAACTGGACGAAGGTGCTTTCCAGTGCTCCTTGATGGTCATTGCAAATAAAATTCTAGTGGACAGATTTTTATGTTTTACATCATGCTCCAATTGACAGAGCGGTCTTGTTTGATAATCGAAATAGTCTAAAGACAACTGAAACTTTATTTGTACGTGTGTTCGGATGTGTTCGGGAGTGAGAGACGAGAATTATATTGCTTGAACGTGTACACTTTGTTTATATCTTTTACCCTACATCAGCTGTAGTTTATCGTACGATCTCAGAAAACCACATCTCCACAGTTGTATAAGAGAGGAACACCAGAAATGAACCGGATTTTGAACATGGATGTGGCACACTTTACGAAGTTCCAGTTGAACTGAATTATATTCTCTCAGAAACTAATCATCTGAAAACAACGGGGTTATTAGCTAAAGGAAAATTCCGCCACTAGTGAGGACGTATTGAGACACGTTGGCTGCTTCATGGGTTACCTGTGTTGTTTGTTAATGGCTGCACCAATTCAAATGTATGCATATGCATAACGGCACACACTATGTTCGAGAAACAACTTTCAAGAAGTCATTATCAAACCAATAGGTAAATACAACACACGTTAAATCGACGATGCCCACGATACGCTAATCATTGAAAGGGTTTCAGAAAATTTATTCCAGTAGAATAATCTGTCTACCGATCACGCCTAAGTCATGTATCGATTTTGTCAAAAAGCAGACATTTTGAACAGCTGGAACGAAAATTATTTCAAAGCCTGAATTTCACGATACTTGAGGACTGTGTGGGCGTGAGATGCATTACGAAGACATCGGCCTTGCACAGCACTTAATACGTTATATATATATATATATTTATATGCATGAAGAATTGGTTGCTCAGAATGCCATAGGTCCTTTAAGTAAGTAGAAAGATAACAACCGGATTGTATTGATACATTTTTTGATTGGAAAATGATAAAACTTTATAGAACGGGGATAAAACAGAAGAGGTTTAGGATAGTCTGCATTGAATGCTCCGTATCTAAAATGACACTTTATAATGGTTCAGATGAAAAAAGCAATACCGCCTGAAATACTTATGTCTAGAAGCCGTTCTTCTGAAGAATCCTTTCAATTAAAATTTAACTATACTCAACTATAGTTCGGCATAGGATTCACCGAAATCGAAAATTGTTCCCTGTTTCTCAATGTATCAAAGTAACCTGACAAATGAAGAAGATCGGCTGCATTAGAAATTAAAACTTAAAAATTTGATGTCCAACGTGCAATAGTAAAATTTTAGTGAGAATTATTTTCTTGAATAATACTGATATTTACAAACGAAATAGAAATAGGGGTGAAACAAATATGGAAAGAAATTTACTAACTAATTGGACGGATACTAGTCAAGTTTAGTCAAAAATCACTTTATTCATCCTAATGGCTGGATTCTCAGCTTCCTGCACTCCAGGATCATTTATCAGTGCATACGGGCACAAAGAAAAAGTGAAAAATAGCATCGTAAATTCAAAGGAATGTGTGCCGTTAATATTTGAAAATGGATATTAGTTGCACAAGAAATTCAAAAATTTTTGTCTAACGGATGCCTTTTGAGCCAGAAATCTCGAAACTGACAAACGGTAGGAAGTGGTAAAAGCATACACCAGGTTAAAACGGCATCTAGTCAAAGAAGTGGATACGCATTGTTCAAGTTTTCTGTGAAATGGGTAATTTCTGCTAAAATACTGTTGCAGAAGTTTTCGCAAGAGGTAAACTATTTGTCGGCGATAAAGTTGAGCAAGTGCAAATAAGGAATACCGCTTGTGTGAGAAATAATTTTAATTGATTAGCTTAGAACTGTAATCTTCAACTCTAAGATTGTCAAATGAAACTGGGGAGCAGTAGAGAAGATGTGTAACAACACAAGAATATGCAAATCGGGTGAGCAAATACAGTGGAACTTTCAGGGATCGTAAGCGGGAAATAAAGAGACAAAATCGGCGAATCTTTTCAAAAGTAACATTTAAATGTGAGGTCCAGGTGAAATCTTGGGAGATAGTGGCACCGAGGTATTGCAGAGAACGTACTGGGGGAAAAGGCTGGTTGTCAACATAGAGGACAGAACATTTCCTTTCAAAACTATGTAGTCGTTCTCCTTTGGCGAGCTAGGTGAAATCTCTACATTTAGGGACATTAAGAGGTAACTTGAAAGACAAAGACCATAAGCTTAAGGCAGATAAACTGGTTTGAAGCTGTGAGAGGCGGAAATCACCTTTGAATTTGGAACCTATTGTGGCATCATCAGCATACTTAATGAGAAGATAATCTGGGTCAGTGGAAAAATCACGAATGTGAAGGAGAAAAAAGGCGGGACAGAATTCCTCCCCGGAGAACCCCGGTAGGGAGTCAGACATTTTACCAAAAAACTTCGTGAATTGTGTTCTACCAGCAAAATAATCCTAGATTAGAAAGAGGGTCTTATGGGACAATACAGCACCTTGGAGTAGAAACCAAGCCTGCTCCTGTTAACATAGTTAAGAGCATTATTATAGTAGAGGAAACGCACAAAATGCTTTGCCATGCATGTCTAGGGATCACAAAACTGAGTTTACCAAATGCGCAAGAGCATCTAAGATAGAACGTTGTTTGCGATAAGCGAATTAGTTGTTATCTAGGTGCCCCAGTGTTAGGAATAATGTTACTAAGCATAAACTTTTCGAAAATGTTTAGTAAAACAGAAGTACAAGCGATGGGTCACAATTTCCCAGCTTCTTTTTTGGGACTGGTGTGATGCGCAAAGGTGTTCAACAGTCGAAAACATTTTATTCCTCCAAGCAACGGTTGGAAATATCGGA